TTCCCTCTGCAGTAGCTTTCAAATATCACGTGCACTTCTGCATATTCAAATTTGACTTGCTAAGAATATGTGAATAGCCTAAATGCAAATGAAGTTTGAGTGCTAAATCTATATGTGTGTTTGTGTGCATCATCTTCCACTTTAAGTTTCTTTGACCCTTACGATTAATTGTGACCCTGGAGCACAAAAGCAGTCTTAAGTCGCTGGGGTATATTTGTAGCAATAGCCAAAAATACATTGTATGGGTCAAAATTATAGATTTTTCTTTTATGCCAAAAATCATTAGGATATTAAGTAAAGATCATGTTCCATAAAGATATTTTGTACATTTCCTACCGTAAATATATCAAAACTTAATTTTTGATTAGTAATATGCATGGCTAAGAACTTCATTTGGACAACTTTAAAGATGATTTTCTCAATATTTTGATTTTTTTGCACCCTCGGATACAGGATTTTCAAATAGTTGTATCTCAGCCAAATATTGTCCTGTCATAACAAACCATACATAAATGGAAAGCTTATTTATTCAGCTTTGAGATGGTGTATAAATCTCAATTTCGAAAAATTGACCCTTGTTACTGGGTTTGTGGTCCAGGGTCACAATTAAGCTGCCAACTGAATACCATAGTGTTTTACTCTATAAAAGGTTTTTTCAACCAAAGAGTTGGAATGATAAGTGGATTTGTGATGATTGTGAATAAAAATGCCAATGCTAAATTAAATACAAATTAAAGTATAATGGAAGAATAAGGAAATAATATATAAATATGCAAATTTTGTGAATTCATTGTATTTTACCCATAGATGACCCATTTGAATATGGAATTGAAAATTGAAAATGCTCCTGGAAAACTGAAATGGACTTTTCTGTATTAAGAGTGTTAAACATGGCAGTCAAGACAGCTCTTTGTTTGCATACGAGTCTTTTACTGTGGGTAGTACTGGAAGTCTTTTGTCTTGTTTACATTTGCTGCAATGGTGTAGAAATTAAAGCAAGATTTTCTCTAATCTCTCATTCAGCATTAAATAGGACACAATTAACTCTCAATAAAAGTCAGAAAGGTGGAAATAGGGTAACAGGGCCTAATAAATTCTGCCAGATTTTCCTCATGATCGGTGTGCCGATTCCGAGCCGGTCCGTTTTGACGTCACACCCACGTAAACATGTATTTATGTCGTGCCAGATGAGGCTCGCGCAGCCTGTGTGAGAGAGACTCGTGCACAAATCATCAAATGAGCGCAACAGCACTCACAGAAAGTTATAGGTGCATACCTAATGATTTAGGTAGGCCTAAGCGATATTACACGGCCAAGATGTTTCCGCTTATAGCAATATCAACATGATTGCATTGTGACACTGATTTTATACAATAGTAGTACACAATATTGACTGTTTTTGCTCAATTTCGCAAACGAAAATCTTTCCAATCAAAGTCACAGCAGAACTGTTGTGTGTCTCTGACTAACACAGCGGTATTTCGTTACTGAATGTATCCACGATTTTCAACGAATCGACTGAGTCAATGATTCAGTAGCCCATTCATAAAGATAGTCACTTGCCTCGTTTCTGAATCAGCCGTTTGAACGAATCGGTTGAGTGAATGAATAAATGACTCACTCATTAAAACAGACATTTGCCGCCACCTACTGGTGGTTTGGTTTCATATTTAAAAATAGCATTGCTTTTTTCCTAACATTTCTTATTTGTATGTTCAAAAAACTATTAAATGCATTTATGGCACCTCAGCTTCATCAAACAGTCTGTGTAAATACATCTAATGCCACTTCAGATGCAGCTTCTGTTTCCTCTGCAGTGGAAAGATGGATATTTTGAGAGTTGTTTAAGTGAGAGAACATCTGTTACTCAATCCAGATTGGGGGGAATTGTAATGTTTAATTTTTTTGCATTGAAATTTGCATAGATTTTTGTTTAAATATACTGTCATTTATAGTTCTTAGAGAGAAAATCGTAATCGGCAAAAATCGGTATCGGCAGGTCACATTTACAAAAAAAAAAATCAGATATCGGAATCGACCAAGAAAATTGCATCCGGTGCATCTCTAGTTATTAGTACTGACATTACACACGTTGATGCAGAAATGTTTTGTGTTGTGGTCAACATGAGCAGGAAATGCAGAAGCTGCAGGAAGCATGACTGACTAAGAATAGCACTTACTCTTGGAGTCAATCTACTTGAACAGGAAATTGCTTCCTGCAGCAAGCCCTCACCCTAAACCAACTCTGCTTACTTATATTCAACCAACTGGACTTCTGCTTTAAAAAAAAACACACATTTTTGCTGATTCAGGGATTTGTTGATTGCAGTTGATTTGTTGATTTTCCACTGCTTGCAATTAAAAAAAAAAAAAAATGTATGCATTTAGCAGACGCTTTTATCCAAAGCAACTTACAGTGCATTCAGGCTATACATTTTTTACCAGTATGTAAAAAATAACAAACATTAATAAAATAACAAAACATTCATGTACAATCAATTCACCATGAATTTTAAACCCAGAAAAAAATGCATTTACCTTCCGAATATATGTGGTCTATCTATTCCATAAAGTGGAGTTCTTATCTGTATTGTCATTATACTCTTGTGAAAAACAAGTGTTCTTAATTTATTGAATGTGCACTTGTAGTGTTCTTCAAATAAAAAAGTTTTTTCTTTTTTAATTGCAGATAATATAATATAAATGACATAAAAGGTCACTGAAATGTACTTAAGAGAGTACACTTTCAAGACTGCTTCTTAACACACTTAAGTATACTTTTGTAATAATATCTAATCTCATTACACCAAATACACAAAATACTGTTCTTTTTAGCAACATCATATGACCCCTTTAAAAAGTTTTACTTTAAAGTATGTTTTAAATAATTACATTTGAATAATCTTTTTTCATGCTTTAAAGTACACTTATTTGGTTGGTGGCAGGATTGTGTCTCGCTTAGTTGTGTTTTTGTTCATGTCTTGGTTTCATACTTATTCTTTCAGTTTAGTCTTTAGTGTCTCCTTATTAGTCCCCCTTAGTTACTGATTATGTTCACCTGTTTATCATTAATTTCTCTTGTTAACCCTGTGTATATCTTCTGCTCAGTCCTTTGTCATTTCTCGTCTTATACTATGTGTTGTATATAATGTTTATTAAAGAATCTGTTTTTGGTAATTCTGCGTCATGCATCTCTTTAAAACCACAATATATGTGATAGCTGGTACCTACAGGTTCTGAAACGTGTTTGTTCATGGGTATACGGGTCTAGATGTCTTGTTGGTTTTGTCTAGCTAGCACTTCCTGTCCAGCTGCACTAAAGGACTGAAGATGTGTTTTGTGGATAACATTAGATGCTGTGAGATGCTGTGGCTGAAGATGGTAAGCAACTGTTAGAATATTTGTGCATGCTTCCTGGATCAGAAAGTTTTCAACAAGGTAATTACTATGTTACAGCTTCAGACGAACTTAAGTTTAGAATATAATTGTTCATCTATGCACAACAATAGATGAATTATGGTTGATTTAATGATTACAGCCATTGATTTTCCATTATTGAATTGAAAGTGAAGCAAAGGTTTTTAAAGCACTCTTTGAGGAGAGAAATAAGAGAAACACATTTTTTAAAACTGTAATCCAGTCAAATGATTAGATAAATAATCGGATATTGTTGATCAAATCGGTTTAACACTCTTTCACATGATAGAAACAGAAGAAAAAGATAAATCCAAGAACTTACTGTACAGCACAGCGGTTTAACATCTCAGCCCATCAAAGTGATGTACAGTGTTTGCAATGTTAACTGCTTACATATTACTTGCATAGCTTTCTGCCCTGGGCCAGAACAATAAGCCAAATTGCTAGAAAGAGAGTAGGCTTCCCATGAGGGATGGAAACCCTCTAAAAGGTCAGATCTACCCTTAAAAATAATGCATTGGTGTAAAAATCCCATGCTTTTTGTTTTGTTTTTTACAAAAAACACTTGTAATGATCACTATTTAAAAAAAAAATACTAGTAATTTTCTTCCAGTATTATCCATTATTTTGTGGACATTTCCGTGAACTCTAAAACACAACGCAATGCAGTGCAAAATTCAAAATCAAATAAAAAACAGAAAATTCCTTCATTTTATTCCTTATATGCCCTATTTTTAGGGATTTTTTTTCAAGTCATTGCAGCAGTGATGGGGCCAGAGCAGGTTTGAGTGTCTGATAGCTTTTGCAAATACACACTTCTTTGAAATGGTTTATTGATCTCTGACTGTTGAAGCCAGACATCATAAGTGCCAAATATACTGTCTTTAACTCTGATTGGAATATGAGCACACATGAATGCTGTGATTACCTGTCAAATTTTCTTTTTAACTCAGCATTTAATTTCAATATAATACTATACAGTGAGTACAATTCATGGTGATGAAGAATAATGACAAAGTTTGCCAGAATATACTGCTCTATACTGTTGAAAGACCTATGTGATAAAATTACATTTCCCATCATTCTCCTTGGCATGCATCCATAAAGCATGAGTGCACAATCTTTGCTCTTCACCTTGTTGAATTATCGCAAAAAAAAAAAAAAGTTCTTGTCAGTGAGTTAAAAAGAGAGTAAGTTAAAAAGAATATTCCAAAGAATTAAAATAAAATAATAATAAATAATAAAAACACCACAGAAAATATTTTTCTTTGGACTGGGAGTTTTGAGTTCTGAAAAATGATTGCGGTATATTTTCATAGTTTTCGACATTTATTTCAAAAGACCAAGAAAAACAGATCCCTTATGATATGACCCCGTGCACGTAGGTAAGTTCCCGAAGGACTCCCTTAGCTCCTCCCACTTTGCAGACAGCCCCTCCCATTTATCAGGAAGCCCCTCCCTCTCACCCTCCCCCAAATTCCAGCCACTCCCTCTCTCATAGAATCTATTAAGTGACAAAAATTCAGGACAGAAAATGGCGACGGCGGGGAGCCGTGCGTCGTCGTTAGGCGGATTATTAGACTCCAGTAGCGGCACAAACGTCGGGAACGGACTTCAGGGCAGTTCCAGCGGCTCCACACTTTCGAACAGCAGCGAGAAAGCGAAGAGAAATGCCGGGGAGAGTTCGCAGTGGAGGCGGAAGGTGAGGAGTGTGGATCTGGATAAATGCGAGAGCGGGACCGCAGCGCTGCACTTCCTCACGGTGTCCGGTCCCGGCTCGATCCAGACCGCCTTACTGCAGCAGAGCCTCGCCGAGCCGCCGCTCGGACAGAAAACCAGCGATAATCCGTTCAATAGTGCTCAGGAATGGATGAGGAGCTCTTTAAAGAGCAGCGAGAGTCCGAGCGCTGAACACGGAGGGGCTGCTGCGGACCTGAACGCTTCACACAACAGGTAAACATATCTCCAGAACTCCTCTTCAGATGCGATTCTGTCGCAGACGCATCTGGAGAGACTTTACTCTCCTAAACTATCTTCTCTCTGACAGAGTCATTACTTTGTATGTGTGTGCGAAAGATTAATGTTGCAACGAAAGTATGAGAAAATGTTATGCAGTCTTGTGGCAAGAGACAGTCATAAAGCAGGTGACTTAAACTGCCTCACGCGGTTTCTTTGTATTTGCTGATCAGAAAGTGCAAGCTAAACTAATTAAAAGTTTATCAATAAATAGACAAATAATTTGAAGCTCACATCTTGATTTGTTTTGTTTTTGACAAACACAAAATAATGATTTGAAAAGCATAACAGTACAAACAAACATCTGTCTCTATATCCCCCCCCCCCCCCCCCATTTTTTTCCCCCCCCCCCTATATTTTTAGCTGTGTCTCATAACGCAGTTGTCCTGTGCCACAGTAGTGCTCGATGACATTAGTGTTTGTAATGGTGCATAAACTCATATTGGGAGTGTTGCTGGAACCCGAGTCTCGCCGCATGGTGTGTGTGAATATCATCAGGTTAAGTGGCAGCTGTTTTCAGAAGGAAGACTGCGAGCGCAATATGAGATGCAGGCTTTGAGACTGTAAAGATAATGAGAGATGAATGGAAGCTGAAACCTAAAGAAACCAACTGCATGCCTTTGTGAGCTCTGTTTTCCAGGATGATGCTTGAGCGTTACTAAAACTGAGATTTTGTATTAAAACTTGTCATTTCCTATATTATTATTTACTATAATGAGTAAGTGGCACATGCAAGTGTCATTTTGAGATTTATATCGCAGCGCATATACAACAAAAGTGTTTTTAAGACTGCAGTCACATGCTACCTTGAAGTAGCCTGGTTGTTTGTCCAGTCTTATGGTCTTTCTCTCGGGTGTTTATAAGCCATATAGGGATTCCAAACCGTGTTTTACGTCACTGAGCTTATTCATTTCCCGCTGCTTCCCCTCAGGTGAGAATAGGAGCATCAGCCATTGTGTGTTCATGTGTGCTGGAGTGAATGTCACAGTCCTGAGGAGAACAACAGGTGCTGAGCAGTGTCTGTTTCTGACGCTGCTGTTGAAGCAGATGTTCTCCTGCTTGAGTAATCTAGACGGACAGCTCATCCGCTGAAACTGTTTTTGTTGAGAGGTCGAAGCAGCTCCTTTCAATGTTCCTTGAGCTGTTTTTGCTCGTGTTAAAGTGTGTCATTTATATGCCACTATTGGCACCAGATGAAAACAATATATATAATAATGGTTGTTTTCGAACAGGTTTCCCAAACACTTTCCAATTTTCTATTAGATGGCAAATTGAATACTTCTCCCCCAAACTCACACTATTGGTTGAGCTGGTGTTGCTGTGTTGGGCGGGTTGCGATTCTCAAACAAACAGTACACTCTAAAAAATGCTGGGTTAAATACAACCCAGCGCTGGGTGAAATATGGACAAACCCAGCAACTGAGTTGTTTTGACCTAGCGGGTGGGTTAAATGTTTAACCCAACCTTCTGGGTAGTAACCCAACCACTGGGTCAAAACAACCCAGTTGCTGGGTTTGTCCCTATTTCACCCAGCGCTGGGTTGTATTTAACCCAGCATTTTTTTAGAGTGTAAAGTTTTGATGAGGCACAGTGTTTAAACTTAAAAAAAAAAAAAAAAAAGAGAATCAGCCTAGCTGACGTATGGTTGTCTCAATGGGACAGGTGAATTTAAACATGGGAAAAAATTATGTAGGGGGTCCATATTATACAAAGATTAATATTAGCCTGACACCTGTTGAGCTCACAGAGGAAACCTTAAGGCAGTATAACTTTGTGTCCATTTACACTCGACCACTTCTTGTGTTTTCTTTGATAGCTATCCTATTGTGAAAAGACCAAGTGTAAATGCCCTCCGAAACACATTTGAGATGGATTGCAGTCTGATTGTACAAACCACTTCCGGAGCTAGTTGTAAATGCATCTGGCTCTCAACTGTTAAACTTGCATATAGCGTGGGAATTGAAGATCGGGTTTATATTTGTTTTACAGAAACACAATTCCTGTGCATAAATGGAATAGTTTTGACACATCTGATGTTCAGAGAAAATGCATGAAGTGAAAAGTGTAAATAGGCCCTTAGGCTTTAGATGATGAAATAGGCTTTAGATGATTTCCAAAGTCCTTGTTTTTTTAGGCAGATGTGTTGGATTTGATTTATTACAGTAGTACTGAATTGCTTAATATTTCTCAGCAGATCTGCAATCGGAGCTTGTCATTGTGAAATAGCTGAGTGGTTTTCCAGTGTTGTCCGGTGTGCCTGCGCTGGCGTCTGCAGATTCCTGTGTGCCTGACACAGTTTGTGTGGTTTCATTGGGTGTTCCCAGCCCACAGAATCGTAATTAATTTGTTTGCATTCCCAGCGGATGTGGCGGGGGTTTGACCACTCTCGTTCAGCATAGATGGCTGGTTCAATGCTGGAGAAGATAGTGCCTCTAGAAAAGAAAACATTTGATCTAGTAAAATGGGTTTATGTTCAACTTGTGTGTCAAGATCAAGAGAGAATTTCTTTACATAAAGGCCCTGTTTGAAACGCATCTTATTATGAAATATTGTGTGTATGTACACTACAGTTCAAAGGTTTGGGGTCAGTACGATTTTTTTTTTTGTAATAGAAATTAATAACTTTAGTCAGCAAGGACACATTAACTTGATTAAAAGTGACAGTAAAGACCTTTATAATGCTACAAATGGTTTCTATTTCAAATAAAGGCTGAATCCTGAAAAAATGTGTTTCTACTTTGATGATCATAAATGTTTCTTGAGCACCAAATCAGCTGGTGAAGCTTCTGAAGGATCATGTGACACTGAAGACTGGAGTAATGATGCTGAAAATTCAGTTTTGACTCACAGCAATCAATTACATTTTAACATATATTACAATAGAAAACAGTTAATGTCGAATATTTCACTGTTTTTACGGTATTTTTGATCAAATAAATATAGCCTTGGTGAGAATAAGAAAAAAAAGTCATACCCAACCTCAAACGTTTGCCCAAGTAATCCATATGTTTGTTTTTTTTAAGTTTTGTACCGTTAGTAGTTTAACAGACATGTAAATACGATGTGTCCGATCCTCCATTACTGATTCAAAAATGGCACATTAGAACTAGCAAAGGCTTGGGCTGGTTTTGAGAAATTATTGGAGTAACAAGACGTCCGAATGATTGTGTTATGACTGCATTTATACAACTAGTTCAATAAACAAAGTTTGTCTGTTTTTTTTTTTTTGCTCATAGTAAGCCATATTCTCATATTGGCAAAACATTAGGGCCTTTCTCACCGCGGGAACCTTTTCATAGTACCAGAACTAATTGTGGAACACTTTTTGGCGTTTTCGCACCGCCGGAACTGGGAGCGATTTTAGTACCGGACTGCCTTTTTCGAGAACCAAATTAGCTCCTACTCCGGAGCAGGGTCTAACCAGCACAACTGGTACTAATCGTGACGTAAGTAGACATTGATTGGCCAAACGCATACGGAAACGCCCTCACCCGCCATGATTTAAAACGCTGTGTAAACATACTGTAAACATTGTGTCAACTTATTTCGCAAGTATGGAGTCGGGATGGGCGATATGGGCTTTAAAATATATCACGGTATTTCTGGTATTTATTACGATAACGATATCAATGACGATAATTCAAGTAATCCTGTTTCTTTTAAGAAATTTATTATCTTTCCTATTTTTACCCAAAATAGGGTGAGCATTAACCTCCTGAGACCCTGCATCCTCAAATGAGGACATTATATTTTAGTGAATTTCTCTGAGACTATAAATGCCACGGTTTTATGATGGATGTCTGGATGTCCTGTACAGAGCGCATTCAGGACTTTTCAGAGATACTAAATGTTTGGATGTTTCACCATGACCACCCCCTCTCCTTGGTCTTCAAAAATGTCTGATATTAATTTAGTGACACTCTTATGGAAATATGATAATATTTTGTAATTGTCATTTAAATCGGACAAATTTTTTAACTGTGTGTCATAAATCAACATCTCAGGAAAATGTTATGGGGTTTCAAATCAAAATATAACTTTGTT